ACGCTTCGCCGGGGGACCGGAGAAAGGATTCCGCAGGCGGACACCGCGGCCTGTCACGGCAGCCGCTCCCCCGGCTCCTCCGCGCCCATCCCAGCCCCGCGCCCCTCCCGCCGGCCTTCCCCGCTCCCGCCCGCACGGGCCGCGCCTGGGAGAGCCCCGCCGAGCGCGGATGGCGGTGGATGGAGACATCCCGGCCCGCGGCCCCGGCACTCACCGCCATGATGGAGGCGGGGAAGAGGCGGGCGGGGCGCGGCCGCGGGGAATTGTGGGAGCGCGCGGGGCGGCGGCGCCCCCTGGCGGGCGGAGGGCCGGGTTGCCATGGCAACCTCCGTTCATTAATGCTCATTATGGAAAACGCAGCCAAATACAGTAATTACTGTAAATATTAACAGTAATTACAATTAAGCGAGAGAGGGGAAAACAACCCAAACGCGCGATGCGCAGTGCAGTTGTTCACCATGCCAGAACCCTTCTGAAACCCCAATTTCTGTGCTGGGAATGACTTTGTGGGACATTCCTTTGGGATCAGCTGTCCCACGGCTTCTTTTGGGAACTCCCTCACTGGCAGAGCATGAAACAAAAAAAAAATAGAAGAAATAAGAGTTCTTGACTTAGGATAGACGTGACGTAGCGAAAATCCAAGCCAAAATTCATTTTTCCTTGCAGCAAAGATGAGGGGAAGTCAGATCCCCAGAACTCTTTCAGGAAAATGTTGGTGGGTTCCAAGAGCTCTGTCTTGGATCTGGATCCTCCTTTTGAACCATTTGGGAGGATGGCAGCCTGTTCCCTGCTGCACTCAGCTTCTCTGGGAAGGGGGCAGCCCAAATTCACACCACTTCGGAGCCCAAACTTCTCTGCAGTGGCCACATCCTGAGCAGAAAATGCCTTCAGTGAGGCTCACACTCGGTGAGGATGGCACCAGCTCGAGGCTTTCCCTGTTTATCCCCTTCCCTGCCTCCCCAGAGCCGTGCTCAGGGCTGCCAGCCATCAATTATTTTTTGCCCCGCTTGCTTCTAATCAGGATGAAGGATAAATGAATAATCAGCTTATCTCATGAAGGAGAGGAAAAAAAAAACTGTCAGGAGTCTCCGTGCAGAGAGTGTGAAAATCCTGTGGTTAAAAAGCAACATTGCTGCTCCATTGTGGATTTCCTGCATCCAAGAGAGGCTTTGCTGGAAAGAGCTGCAGGCTGGGCTGGCTTCCAGCAATCCTTGGATCCTCTGGGCCCTGTCCCTCCTGCAGGAATGGTTTCTAGCAATCCATGGATGCCCTGGGCTCTGTCCCTGCTACAGGAATGGGTTCCAGCAATCCATGGATCCTCTGGGCTCTGTCCCTGCTACAGGAATGGGTTCCAGCAATCCATGGATCCTCTGGGCTCTGTCCCTGCTGCAGGAATGGTTTCCAGTAATCCATGGATCCTCTGGGCCTGTCCCTGCTGCAGGAATGGTTTCCAGCAATCCATGGATGTCCTGAGCTCTGTCCCTGCTACAGGAATGGTTTCCAGCAATCCATGGATCCTCTGGGCTCTGTCCCTGCTACAGGAATGGGTTCCAGCAATCCATGGATCCTCTGGGCTCTGTCCCTGCTACAGGAATGGGTTCCAGCAATCCATGGATCCTCTGGGCTCTGTCCCTGCTACAGGAATGGGTTCCAGCAATCCATGGATCCTCTGGGCTCTGTCCCTGCTACAGGAATGGGTTCCAGCAATCCATGGATCCTCTGGGCTCTGTCCCTGCTACAGGAATGGGTTCCAGCAATCCATGGATCCTCTGGGCTCTGTCCCTGCTACAGGAATGGGTTCCAGCAATCCATGGATCCTCTGGGCTCTGTCCCTGCTACAGGAATGGGTTCCAGCAATCCATGGATCCTCTGGGCTCTGTCCCTGCTACAGGAATGGGTTCCAGCAATCCATGGATCCTCTGGGCTCTGTCCCTGCTACAGGAATGGGTTCCAGCAATCCATGGATCCTCTGGGCTCTGTCCCTGCTACAGGAATGGGTTCCAGCAATCCATGGATCCTCTGGGCTCTGTCCCTGCTACAGGAATGGGTTCCAGCAATCCATGGATCCTCTGGGCTCTGTCCCTGCTACAGGAATGGGTTCCAGCAATCCATGGATCCTCTGGGCTCTGTCCCTGCTGCAGGAATGGTTTCCAGCAATCCTTGAATCCTCTGGGCCCTGTCCCTGCTGCAGGAATGGTTTCCAGAAATCCATGGATCCTCTGGGCTCTGTCCCTGCTGCAGGAATGGTTTCCAGCAATCCATGGATGCCCTGGGCCCTGTCCCTGCTGCAGGAATGGTTTCCAGCCTGATTTATTACCTCTGGGCTCTGTCCCTGCTGCAGGAATGGTTTCCAGCAATCCATGGATGCCCTGGGCCCTGTCCCTGCTGCAGGAATGGTTTCCAGAAATCCATGGATCCTCTGGGCTCTGTCCCTGCTGCAGGAATGGTTTCCAGCAATCCATGGATGCCCTGGGCCCTGTCCCTGCTGCAGGAATGGTTTCCAGCAATCCATGGATGCCCTGGGCCCTGTCCCTGCTGCAGGAATGGTTTCCAGCAATCCATGGATGCCCTGGGCCCTGTCCCTGCTGCAGGAATGGTTTCCAGCCTGATTTATTATATTAAGATATATATTATATTAAAATGATATACTAAAACTATATTAAAAAGTATAGAGAGAAAAGGATTCATCAGAAGGCTAGAAAAACAAGAATGGAATGGAATAACAAAGGCTTGTGACTCTCAGAGAGTCTGAGCCAGCTGATTGTGATTGAGCATTAATTAGAAACAATTAACATGCCCCAATCACAGCTGCACCTGTTGCAGACAGTTATTGTTTACATTTCTTTCCTGAGGCTCCTCAGCAGAAAGATCCTAGCAAAGGATTTTTCATAAAATATAAAAATATTTTGAATATATGAAATACAAATCCTCCTTTGCCAGGCCTGGATGGTCTGGCTGTGCCAAGATCAGGCTGCAGAGAGGGAGAAGGGATTGTTCCAGCCCCTCTGGGGGTCCTGGGGGACAGGGCAGAGCTCAGGGGTGTCACCCTCCCCTCTGTCCCTGTGTGACCCCCCCTCTGCGATGGTGTCAGCTCATCCCACCCTCTGCTCCTGACTCCAAAACAGCAAAGAGCTCTGCTCACCTCCAGACACAGAGAATCAGGGAATTATGGAGTGGTTTGGGCTGGAAGGGACCTTCAATTCCATCCCACCCCACCCCTGCCATGGCAGGGACCCCCCCACTGTCCCAGCCCTGCCCAGCCTGGCCTTGGGCACTGCCAGGGATCCAGGGGCACCCACGGCTGCTCTGGGCACCCGTGCCAGGGCTTTGCACCCTCACGGGGAAGAATTTCCAGATCCCATCTCGTTGCAGAGACATCTCCTCCCTTGGCATTTCCCTGCTGAATTCAGGAAGCTTTTCCTGCCTGGCACGGAGCTTCCCACCCGCCCGCTCCCTGGACCCTCTCCCATCTCCAGACTCCTCCAGACGGGTCCCACGTGGAGCTCTTCGTGCTCTGAGTCATCCCTGTCCCAGAAGAGCCCGGAGCTCTGCTCTGCCAGCTGCTCCAACACATTTTCTCCGGGAGAAGGAGTGGGCTGGGTGTGTTTTTCATTCGGTGCACAGAGAGGAATCCATTGCTGAGGGCAGGTTTGGGTTTATCCAGGGAGGTTTCTGGCCACAAATTTTCACCTGGCTGATGAGAATTCCAGCTGCAGGGGAGCACTGATCCTGCCAGAGGAGTTTGTGATTCCCAGCAGCAGAGAGGGAGCAAAGATCTCCTGAGCCAGGCAGGGAGGAATGGCACAGGGAGGGAAGGAGTGGGTGCTTCGTGTCCCTTCCCTCGCTGCAGGAATGCTGCCTGGGTGCTGAGCAACTCAGCATCGGCCCCGAGGGTGGGGGGGGGATTTAAAACCTTTATTTCACCCCTTAGGATCATCTCTGTAAGAATGGGGGGGATTTTAAACATTTATTTCACCCCTTAGGATCATCTCTGTAAGAATGGGGGGGAATTTAAACCTTTATTTCACCCCTTAGGATCATCCCTGGAAGAATGGGAGGGATTTTAAACCTTTATTTCACCCCTCAGGATCATCCCTGCAGGAATGGGGGGGGGGGGGGATTTTTAATCTCCTTAGGATCATCCCTGCAGGAATGGGGGGGATTTTAAGCATTTATTTCACCCCTTAGGATCATCCCTGCAGGAATGGGGGAGTTGAAGCATTTATTTCACCCCTTGGGATCACCCCTGGAAGAATGGGGGGGATTTTAAACCTTTCTTTCTCACCTTAGGATCATCCCTGCAGGAATGGGGGTGGGATTTAAACCTTTATTTCATCCCTAAGGATCCTAGGTGGAAAAATGGGGTGGATTTTAGGCATTTATTTCACCCCTTGGGAAGATCCCTGCAGGAATGTGGGGGATCTTAAGCCTTTATTTCTTCCCTTAGCATCATCCCTGCAAGAAGGGGGGGTATTTTAGGCATTTATTTAACTGCTTAGGATCGTCCTTGCAAGAATGTGGGGGAACTTAAGCCTTTATTTCACCCCTTGGGAACATCCCTACAGGAATGTGGGGGAACTTAAGCCTTTATTTCACCCCTTGGGAACATCCCTACAGGAATGTGGGGGATCTTAAGCCTTTATTTCACCCCTTGGGAACATCCCTACAGGAATGCGGGGGAACTTAAGCCTTTATTTCACCCCTTGGGAACATCCCTACAGGAATGTGGGGGAACTTAAGCCTTTATTTCACCCCTTGGGAACATCCCTACAGGAATGTGGGGGATCTTAAGCCTTTATTTCACCCCTTGGGAACATCCCTACAGGAATGCGGGGGAACTTAAGCCTTTATTTCACCCCTTGGGAACATCCCTACAGGAATGTGGGGGATCTTAAGCCTTTATTTCACCCCTTGGGAACATCACTGTAAGAACGGGGAGGATTTAAGCCTTTATTTCACCCTTAGCTTCCACTGCCAGCAGCTACAGAAGAAAGGGGAGAGCAGGAACTGCGGAGGCCGGGTGGAAAGGCAAAGGGGAGGACGCGGAGCCGGAGAGGACAACCAGGACAACCAGGACCGCAGCCTTTAGACCAGCGAGGGGCTGCGAGCAGCATCCCCCGGCAGGAAACGGGAAGCGCTTTACCACAGCCCACGGGGCGTGCTGGCAAGGCCGGCCGGCCGATGAAGGCTCGTCCTTCCTCGCTGCCGAGAACTTCCCGGCGGCTGCTGCGCCTCTGCGGGAGGAGATCAGCCAGGGTGTGCCCCAGCCCACTCCCGACGCACGGCAGGGCGGAGAGGATGCAGTGCCACGTGGGATTCCCCGCTGCTGTCCCGGGGCAGCGGGACGCGCCCGCGCTGCCGCAAATTTGGGATTTTTGGGCGCGATCGGGACCGGCGGGATTCGAACCCGCGGCCTAAGGAGTCCCGCGGCCACGCCCCTTTAGACCACGCCCACACGTGGTTTGTCCCGCCCCAGGTCACGCCACGCCCCTTGCCGCCGGCGGGTCATGTGACTGACCAAGATGGCGGCGCTCAGGGCGGCGGTGCCGGTGCTGGCGCTGCTCGGGCTGGGCCTGGGCCCCGCGGCCGCCGCCACGCCGCTGGTGATCTGGCACGGCATGGGTGAGCCGGGACCCTCCGCCAGGACCGCGGGGCTTGCCTGGGGGCCGGGCAGGAGCGAGGGGCGCTCGCTCCGGTGTCCCGCTCCTCCGCAGCGCCGGTCTCGGTGGGGAGCGGGAGGTGCCGCCCCTCCCGGTACCGCGGCGGCGGAGCTCGCGGTGTGTCCGTGGAGATGAGGTGAGGCCCGGGGCCGTGGCGTGGTGGCGCATCGCGGTGTTCCCTCTGGCAGGAGACAGCTGCTGCAATCCGGTGAGCATGGGCTACATCCAGAAACTGGTGGAGAAAAAAATCCCGGGGATTTTCGTCCTGTCGCTCAAGATCGGCAGCAACCTGATCCAGGTGAGCCGCGTGCGGGGTGGGGCTGAGCCTCTGCAGCCCGCGGTGCTAACAGGATTCCAGCGGGATTCCTGCTGGCAGTTTTCTCTCCTCGGTGAGCTAAACTGCTTTGACAGGCAGAACCCGATAAAGTCCAGCTAATGCCTGCAGAAAAGCACCGGGGGAAAACAAATCCCTGACCTAAATTGGATTAATATGCAAATCCAGTGATTAGCACACTGGAACCAGAGCAGGCAGGGCGTGGGAGGGAGGCTGTGCTGAGACAGAGATTTATTTATTCTCCTTTGCAAACGTTGATTTAATTCAGTGAAATCAGTTCCACGCTTGTGCACCTCCCTGGCCTTTGACAGGGTTTTGTAGTGCTGTGGAATTCGTTGGAATAATTTCTCAGGGCAATGTGGGGTGGTTTTCTGGGTTCTGGAGAAGTTTGATTTCTAATTTTTTTTTAACAAAATCTGAAGAAATTCAAGTTTTAAAGAGGTTTGGGGAAATGACACTTTTGCCAACCAGATCAGGAAGGGAAAGGGAAGTGAAGGTAAAGGGAAAACTCAGAACTGAAATTTCACTTCTCCCCCTGTGAAAGCTCAGGTCCTCTTTCTAAACCACAAATGCCAGGGGTGTGTTTGCAGGGCTGAAAACACCCCCAGGCACAGCAAAGGTACAAATGGTGCACCCTGCTCTGCTCCCCCAGGACATGGAGAACAGCTTCTTCATGAATGTCAACGAGCAGGTGAGCCAGGTGTGCAGGCAGCTGGCCACAGAGCCCCGGCTCCAGGGGGGCTACAACGCCATGGGCTTCTCCCAGGGAGGCCAGTTCCTGTAAGTCTGCACCCAGGGGCTCTGGGGGGCTCACATCCTGCTTGTCACCCTTCAGAAGTGCTCAGCAGTGGGAATTCCTGAAGGCAGCAGTGCTCCAAGGGGGCAGGTTGTGTTTTATCCCCTGCAAAGGTTGTAGCAGTGCCCAGACCCACACAGAACCTGCACAGAGCAGCTGTCAGAACCAGAGGACACAGCTGGGAAGGGGAAATATAGGTTGGGTATCAGGAAAAAGATCTTTACACAAAGGGTGGTAAAGTTCTGGAGTGTTCTGCCCCGGGAGGGGGTGCAGTCACCATCCCTGGGTGTGTTTGACAGAGCCTGGATGTGGCACGGGGGCCAGGGCTGAGCTGAGCTCTGGGGCTGGGGTGGACTCGGTGGTCTTGGAGGTCTTTTCCAGCCCTGTGACTCTGGGATGTTGTGATTCTGTGACTCTGTCACTGATTCTGTCACTCTGTGTCTGTGATTCTGTCACTCTGTCACTGATTTTGTGACTCTGTCACTCTGTGATTCTGTCACTCTGTCACTGATTCTGTGACTCTGTCACTGTGACTGTCACTCTGTGATTTTGTCACTCTGTCACTCTCTGATTTTGTGATTCTGTGATTTTGTGATTCTGTCACTGTGTGATGTTGTGACTGTGTCTCTGTGATTCTGTCACTCTGTCACTGATTCTGTGACTCTGTGTCTGTGATTCTGTCACTCTGTGATTTTGTGACTCTGTCACTCTGTGACTCTGTGTCTCTGTGATTCTGTCACTCTGTCACTCTGATTTTGTGACTCTGTGATTCTGTGATTTTGTGATTCTGTCACTCTGTGATGTTGTGACTGTGTCTCTGTGATTCTGTCACTTTGTCACTGATTCTGTGATTCTGTCCCTCTGTGACTGTCACTCTGTGATTCTGTCACTCTCTGATTTTGTGACTCTGTGATGTTGTGACTCTGTGATTTTGTGATTCTGTCCCTCTGTCACTGATTCTTTGACTCTGTCACTCTGTGATTCTGTCACTGATTCTGTCACTCTGTCACTCTGTGACTCTGTCACTCTGTCTCTCTCTGATTTTGTGACTCTGTGATGTTGTGACTCTGTGATTTTGTGATTCTGTCACTCTGTCACTGTGATTCTGTCATTCTGCTCCCGGGGCAGGCCCAGCTCAGCTCCTTGCTCTCCCCACAGGAGGGCTGTGGCCCAGAGGTGCCCTGCTCCTCCCATGCTCAGCCTCATCTCCATCGGGGGACAGCACCAAGGTAGTGCCCCCTGGCACAGCCCCCGGGCACCCTCTGGGGCTCCTCCCTGAACTCTGATCACTTTCTCATTAATTAAATTGTCCCTTTGTTCCTGGCTGGGTCTGGTGATGTGTTTGGCCCAATTAGTGTTTGCTGATTTCGTTATTGCTTAATTGGCAGTGGAAAGGCACCTCTGTCAGCAGCTGGCTTCTCTGCCTGGGTGGGATTCTTGCACACCTCGGGAGCTCTTGGGATGAGTTATTTTGTGGGAAATTCCTGCAGATTTCTGAACCTGAACCTTCTGCTCACGGGGGTATTTTACAATCACCATCCTGAAGGCCAAAGCCCCGAGGGAAGGGAGTTGTGAGAAGGAATTCAGGAGCGTGGAGTTAAGAGAATGAACGAATTCCAGCTACTCTGCCCCGGGGAATCCCACAGCTCCTGGAGCTGTTTGTTCACGGTGGAGAGGGAGGATGTGTAGGGAGCACCCAGCACTACCGGGGCTGTGGAGGAGCTTGCAGGGCTAAAAGCTGCCTGGGTGCATAACTCTGCTCCTGCTGTGGCTGCTGAGCAGCAGGAGGGTGCAGCCCCCTGTGCTGACTGAGCCGCGTCCCCAGGCGTGTACGGCTTCCCGCGCTGCCCCGGGGAGAGCTCCCACCTCTGCGACTGGATCCGCAGGACGCTGGACCTGGGGGCCTACAGCAAAGCAGTGCAGCAGCAGTGAGTACAGCCCCAGGGGGGCCCTGGCAGCAGCTCTGCCTCTGCAGGCTCAGCCTTGCTCTGTCCCCTCCGCAGCTTGGTCCAGGCAGAGTATTGGCACGACCCGCTGAAGGAGGAGGAGTACAGGAAGAGCAGCGTTTTCCTGGCTGACATCAACCAGGAGAGGGTAAGGACAGCCTGGGAAAGGTTCAAGCTGAAGAGTTTGCCTGTCTCTGGGCTCTCCAGTGGCTTGGATGTGTTCTGCTTCCGTGCAGGGCATCAACGAGACCTACAAGAAAAACCTGATGGCTCTGAAGAAGTTTGTGATGGTGAAATTCCTCAACGATACCATGGTGGACCCTCCAATCTCTGAGGTGAGGAAGGCAGGGCAGCTTTTGGGGCCTCCTTGTCTCTGGTTTGAGAGAGCAAAGCTGGAGGTTGCAGAGGGGCAGGCTGGGCACAAACCCAAGCCTGGCACTGCCCTGGAAGCTGCTTGGCTCCTGGGAGCCCTTCAGCAGCTGTTCCTGCATTTTTTATCCATTTTTATGCAGTGGTTTGGGTTTTACAAAAGTGGCCAAGCCAAGGAGACCATCCCACTGCAGGAGACCTTGCTGTACAAAGAGGTGAGTTCTGGGGGCTGGGGGCTTCTGCTGTGTCCCCTCTTTCCTGTCCCTGGGGCCTCTCTTGTCTCTGCTGGGGCATTGCCTCCCCCTGCCAGGAGCTGCTTGTTTGGGGGGACATTTCCCTCAGCCATTCCTGGCACTGGTGGAACCCTGGGAATGACCCTGGAGGTTCCTGGCTGCCTCAGGATCCCCCTCAGAGTCCCATGAGCTCTGCTCCTGATCCAAGCTTTGCTCCAGGGCTCCCCTGGAATCCCTTTCCCCTCCACGAGGAGGAGAGCAGAGCTGGAATCTCCCCCTTGCCCCCACAGGATCGCCTGGGGCTGCAGGAGATGGACAAGGCAGGGAAGTTGGTGTTCCTGGGGGTGCAGGGGGATCACCTGCACTTCTCAGAAGAGTGGTTTGACAGCTCCATCCTCCCCTTCCTCCACTGAAGCCCCCCCGGGAGCCCTGGGCAGGGATTTTCACTGGAACTAACACCAGCCACTGTGCACAGCCCTCGGTGCAGGCAGGGATTTGGGGAGGGGAACAAGGGGGGGTTTAGCTCAGGGGGGTTTTAGCTCAGAGGGGTTTAACTCAGGGGGGTTTAGCTCAGCAGGGTTTAGCTCAGCAGGGTTAACTCAGCAGGGTTTGCCAGGGTGGAATTGCACTCCCAGCTGGGCTGAGCCTTGCGCCAGGGTGGAACTGCACTCCCAGCTGGGCTGAGCCTTGCCCTGACCCTGACAGGGCCTGGTGAATCCAGCCCAGCTCCCAGAGCTGCTCCCCACCCCTGCTCCTGCAGGGCACTCTGTTCTGGCAGCATTAACCCAGCTCAGCAGTGCAGGGATCAGCAACTCTCATGGCTGTATGCAGGGCAATCATGTTACAGCCCATGCTTCAGGATGAGGGAAAAGGCCAAATTTAGGGGTTTCTGGGGAAAATAAAGAAAAAAGAGGGTTTGGAATTCAGCAGTATTAACAGCTTGAACCGTTTTCAACTAATGGCTTGGTTTATGTTCTTTTGTACAATTAAATCAATAAAGAACTTGCCATCTAACCAACTAAATAAAAGCTTGGCTAACTGCTGACTGTGTTTGGAGGGGAGCTGAGGAAAGTCTGGGAAGTATTCCAAGGAATCAAGGCAGGGTCAGGCAGAGGGGGGAGCCTGTCCTGCCTGAGCTCCTGTGTGCCCCCAAAAAGAGACAAGAGCCACAGTAATGAGCAAGTTGGCATTAACTTTATTCTATCTTCTGTATAATTTTAAGTACATAAGAAAGGTTTTTTTCACAAGCCTCAGGAGAAGACAAGTACAAGTCACAGGACAGTTTCAAAATAAAAAAAAAAAAAATTGCATAATTTTCCTTTTTTTTTTTCTTTTTTTGTAAGTTTTGTACTAGAGAAAAAGAACATTGACACTTTACAGAAGAAATGCATTTAAGATATGCTTATGCCACCCGAGGCGTTGGAAAAATGAAGGTCAAAGCACGTGCAGCTCCCTTTGTGGGTCAGTACAGTACTGTGTGATCCATCACTCTGCTCCAGGGCCCTGGAACAGAGGCTACAAACTTCCACCAAAATAAAGAGCCAAGCAACAGGGGGGATAAAAGGGGGAGGATTCAGAGGGGGCTGATTGCAGATGAGGAAGAGAGTGATGAACCGACTTGATCCAACTGGGGTATTTACAGCTCTGCACTACTGACCTGGAATGGAGGAGCTCCTTCCTCTGGGGAAGGGCACAGCTTCAGGAAAAAAAACATCCTGGGAGACTGAACCCGAGCTCAGCTGCTCCAGGAAGGAAGCCCTGGGGCAAAGGTTGCCTGGTGAAGGTGGAGGGCTCATGGAATGGGAGGTGCTCAGCTCCAAGCTACCAGCCAGGCTGCTGGGTGGCCGTGGTGACAGCACTGCAGCCTTCCTGTGGCACTGGGGCATGAAAGCCTCCTGTCATGGCACAATCAGGAATGCACTGAGCTAGTGGGAATGATGGAAGAGAAATCAGGGTGGAATTGGCCCAGGTCCTCAGCCTTTGGTCCGACAAAACCGTTCCCATGTCCTGTGCTGCCTCCAGGGAGCTGGAGCAGCTTGCAGGAGCTCCCCAGGACAGCTGGGTGCCGTGGCCTCCAAGAGACACTGTCGCTCGTTAAAAAGGGGAAAACATTCCTCTCACATGAACAGTTTTGCTTAAAGGCAATACAAAAACAACACTCTGAAAGCCAACTGCCAGGACTGGCTGTGAAGTTCACCGAGACTCTGATCGATTGGTGCAGTTAGATGGGACAAGGGGAGAGAAAAAAAGAAACCTTCCTGCTGAGAGAGGTGACAACCACTGCCCCGCCACCAACGCCAAGCCCCAGGCAGAGGAATCTCAGTGATGGCAGGCAGCTGTGTCTCTCGGGTAGAAGAGAAGCAGTTTGAGAGCAGAAAGGTACAAGGAATCTAAGAGAATCATCTGAAAGCAGATTTGTCCCACAGCAGGGCCAGGGGAGGGCGTGAGCCTTGGAGCTTTTCGGCTTAGCCAGCAATTTCTGTCACAGTGGTAACCAACTTCTGACCGTTCCACACTGTCTTGAACTGTTCTGGGACAGGGAATTCAGTCTGGAGGGTAAAAACAGAAAGCTGTAGTTAAAAATCACTTTATGGCTGAGATTAGTAATCACTCCCACTGCTTCAGGCATTTCTTTTCTCTTGCCCCCAAAAGATCCTGAGGAAGAAGCAGCTCTCACAAACCAGCAATAATCTTACTCACAGATGATTTTTTTTGCTATTTTCATAAATCAGATCACCACCCACAACCCCCAAACTCCACCAACATTTCCCCACTGTGACCAACCCTCCGTGCAGGGCTCTATCAAGGCACAGCCCCTGCAGCCCCCAGCCCCAGCAGGGCTGCAGGGGGATTCCCAAGCAGCACTCACAAAGTCGCCCCCCTCGGTGGGGATGAGCACGTTCATCTCCGAGGACTTGGCACTGACGATCTCGCAGTCGAGGGAGCTCTTGCTCAGGTACACGTGGCACCCATCTGTCTTGTTGATGGAAATTGTTGGCACTTTACCCATGACCTGGCAGGGCAGGAGCAGAATTAGTTTAAACTGGGCAGCCACAGCATTTTTTTGGTGTGTTTTCTTTCAAGGCAAGAGGTTTGAGTCCAAGCCCTTCCCCTTGATTCAAGTATTCCCACCTTTAGCAAAAATCCAAAGTTTTTGTTTGCAATTTTCCCCAGTTTCATGTTCTGACCTCTTCAGAACAAAACTTGAGCCAGCACTGGGTAAACTGACCTTCCCAAACCAGATGCCCAAACTGAACTGGAATAAAACCTGCTGCTGGCCTCCTGCTTTGGCAGCCAAATGTGCTTTCTACCCAAACCCTGAAACAGCTCCAAGACACAAATTTCAGCCCTTTCCCAAGGCACAGATGGTGTTTCATGGGTATTCTCCACAGCTGCACGCTCCTGGTCTGGAAATACAACTGCTCCAGAGGCAGGAGAGAGAACAGGCCACTCACCTGAACTTTAACATCCCTGCTGTTGATGATCTCCACAATGCCCACCACATCATCAAACACCAGACCCAGCTTCTTGCAGTTATCTGCAAAGAAAAGCAGATCAGGGCACAGATTTTGGAGGCTCCAGCTCCTGCACACACACCAGCAGGCAGGAGCAGCTTTCAGGGCTCTCCCCACTCACCGAGGGTGATGGAGTTGATCTTGCCTTTGATTTGGAGTGTGCTGTTTGTGCACTTGAAAACATAGGCTACCTGCTTCAACTCTGTGTCACTGATGACCAGGTTAGTGGCATTCTCCTGGTTTTCCTGAAAAGGCAGGGGAAACACCCTTCATTTTCTGAATGCAGAGCAATTAATCCATGAAAATCCCCTTTAAAAACAAGCAGGTGCCTTCAGGCTGGTGCCTCTTAGGAGAAAGTTCTCCAGAAGTTCCCCCTTTGCTTCCCCAAAGCTCCCATCCCTCCAACCCACTCCTGCCAGCACCAGGCACTCACCACTCTCCACTTTTTGCCTTCTAATTCTAGCAATGGAGGTGCCTTTGGGGAGGGATTAGCATTACAGGCAGGTTTGGGAGCAGTGAAAGGTTTGGGGCCAGTTCTCACAGGGCCCCCTTGGTTCTTCAGGGCTGGATTCTTGTGGGTTTTCATGTCATCTGAGACGTGCCTTAAGCCTGCAAGAGAAGGCAAACCTGAGAGCCAGCTCCCCTCCAGGAATGCAGCTCCCCAAACACCAGGCAGTGGTTACACCAGTCAAGATAACACTTGTCAAAACACAAATAAACTCTTGGGACTGGGGCTAAGTTGAGCCCAAGTGTGAGAGACAGGAAGGGAAGGAGGAAGCAGGAAATGCTGGTGCAATATTGACAAGAACACGACGTGAACCACAGAACCAGAGTGTGCCAGCTCTTCCACTCTGCAGCTGGAAAAAGCCCCGAGCCCAGTCACCAAGTAACACAAAAAAGGGAAAAATTCTGTGCAAACAACAGCTGCCAAATTACACTTTTTGTACCAGAAAGATGCAACCAAAGGGCTCAGCCTCAGGGATTTAGAGCTGGAAGTTCATGCCTTGCTCCACCTGCCAGATGAGGGTGACAATTCTCCCCCAGGAGCGCTCCCTTTGTCCCTGAGAAAGCACCAACCCCAGGCTGGGTTTTTATGTCCTCTTTAAGCAGCTGCATTGAGGGGCAGCAGGAAAACAAGGAGCAGCAGCAGCAGCAGAGCAGCAGCAGAGCAGCCCCTCCCTCCCCGAGCCCCTGACGTACCCGAGGTGATCCCTTCTCCCCGGTTGATCTGCGCGAAGAGCGCCGAGCGCGAGGCCGAGTCGTCTGTGCTGGAGCTCGCGGGGGCAGGAGGAGGGGGAGGCCCTGGAGGTGGGGGTGCAAGCCCAGCCGGGGGGGCAGGAGGTGCTTTAGCCCCTGCTGCTGTGGCTACAGGACCCTGGAAGAGCAGAGAAGAGGGAAGGAAGTGGCAGGGGCTCGGCTGCGCCGCGGTGACGCCGCGCTCCCTGCCGCGGCCAGCACTCACTGTTTTGCTCCAGGTCAGCCCCGTGGTGTGGTACTCTTTGATGTAGGCCTGCAGCTCTGTCCAGATGCTCAGGTAAGCTTTCACCCAGTCCACTTGTTTTTTATCTCTGAGAAGGCAAAGAGGAGGAATTAAAGGCTGAGGAGCAGCCCCAGCTGGCCAAGCTCAGCCACCCCGAAAAGCTGAACTTACACATCCTTGTACTCCTTGAGGATCCTGTTGGTGTAAAACATGGCAGCATCAGTCATCTCCTTCACGTAAGGACCAGGCTTTGGAGCCTAGAGCAGAGAGAACACGTTGGCACTGAGCAGCCCACCAGGAGCCAGGCTCTCCCAGCAGCCCGAGGAAAAGCCCTGCCTATGGTTTGATGCTTTGTGTGAGGAGAAAAGAATCTTGACTTTACGTTTCAGAAGGCTGATTTATTATATTAAGATATATATTATATTAAAATTATACACTAAAACTATATTAAAAAGAATAGAGAGAAAAGGATTCATGAGAAGGCTAGAAAGAACAAGAATGGAATGGAATAACAAAGGCTTGTGACTCTCAGAGAGTCTGAGCCAGCTGACTGTGATTGGCCATTAATTAGAAACAATTAACATGCACTAATCACAGATGCACCTGTTGCATTCCACAGCAGCAGATAGTTATTGTTTACATTTCTTTCC